ATACTTGTTTATGTAAACATTTAAAATTTCCAGCTCATGTTTTTGAACACATGTCTAGGAACAAAAAATCTTCAGCAGAGAAGACAAAATTAATATACGAAAAATATATGAAGCTTATGAATAAAAAAGAAACATAACCCTATCCTTAACAAATACAAAGGTGATCATTCATATCTATTTTAATTCCCTTCTCTCTTGTATGTAGAACGAATTTCAATACTTAGACTCAGGCCTAAAAGTCTTATTTATTATACCTAACTATCGTATTTATACTCTTACGCAGAGTAGTAAACCTTTGATTGTCATTTTTTGTCAGACGCGTGTAACTTAAAAAGTAATCAAACTAGACTTATATAACAAGCTACTCAAAAGTATTTAATAACATAAATAAACGGAAAAATAATACAGATTAGAACATAATAAACCAACTTCACCCTCACATTACCGACTTGTTTTAATACCGTTCACTACCGGTAGAGTCCACATACTGTACCATATTGCCTAATTTTTATCTTTGAATGTTACAACACTCATTGTAAAGAATTGACAAAAATAAATTTTCTGTATAAAATACACGAACCTCAGCAGCGACTAGTGGGTTAACTGAAATATTAGATTTCTATTGTGTGACTATTGTTATCAGTAACCTAAAACGGACAAGATAATGGATTTACAATAAATTTGTACATAAATAGTTTAAATAAATATGTGTTATAAGTTTATAAAGACCCACAGGGAATTCTAAGGTTAATAATATATACAGTCGTAATCGTAGTAATATCTCGCGATGGTTAGCTATTGTTGTCGTGCACTAACAAGGGAAAATAACATTTTTTTCGATAATATTTAATTTTACAACTGATTTAAAATTATCTTAAACTATATAACAAATTATATTAATGAAAGTAACTATAATTTAAAGAAGTTAGCCCCTAATATATACATAGTTGATCAGTACTATTACTGCAGACTAAATTTACAGGAAAGCTGAATGGTATTTTTAAAAGGTGCATGTCGTAATACATAGCCAACAGTAAAAACTGATAGAAGTTAATAACAAACAATATGACATCATACCAATGGTATTCTATCACATAATCATGTGACCAAAAGTTTACTTGTGTACTGACTCTGTGACAATACGAGTAATTTGTTTTTGTAACTAATCATCAAACATTTTGTGATTATCTTAATTTTTATATTTTATGTAAATAATGTATATATCATATGTTAGTATAGCTACATAGTTAGTATTATAACTATATTATAATATTAGAAAAATTGTGAGACAACAATCATTTTCTATAAAATTTTAGACGCACGTTACGGCAGACTCGAGAAATAGAACATCAAAGGCAGTTTTATAATTTAACAAATATTCTAAAATCAAATAGTTTGATGGACTAGTCCCGAAGAAGCCGCAAAGGCGAAACGTCCGTTAAATTAAAAGTCCTCTTATACTTATCTGGAGTATAAAGGTCGTTTTTTTTCTTACTTTATTATCAAAGCGAGTAACTTGTAAAGCGATAATTTGTTGGAAATGGTAGTAGAAATAGGCTTAACTTCCTGTTTCACCCTGACCTTCTTCGTTTCAGACATATTTTTTTTCAAAATTGCACAACCCCTAACAAACTAATAGTGCAAAATACCTTGTTTATATAATTATAAATAAGTATTTACAAATTTACATTTACAACCACTTTGCTGAGTAAAATCTAACAACGATCGCTTCCCGACACTGAATTTAGCTGTTGTAGCGTCATCTTCATACGATGTGATTTAGAAAAAAAAACTATGTTTTTTAATTTCAAACTGGTTTATCACAATAGGTCCAAGTAAAGAAATTTGTTTTTAATCACAGCATTACTTTCATTACTTTATACACTGATTGAAATAGTGAGTAGCAGCTGTATTTTAAGAGTTAAAAATAAAAAGTCCCATATATATAAGTGAATATATATGATTTTACTGTTGTTTTTACACTTTTAAGATTTATGATTATTATCTCAAAATTAGAAAGTTCTTTTGTTTAATAACCAATATTTCCTTTCAAATGATTTCAATTTGTGAAATATGTACATTTATGTAACATAGTTTATAAACAAATGTAATAAAAATACAGTATTCCAGGAGATAAATTATTTGGAAGCTTGATATCTCGACAGTGGAAATAGAAAGGTTACCTAAACTTGATCTGTAACTTGTGCCTTGCTGTTGCCTTTCTACTTGATAAAATTTAGATACTATGCATTTATGTGTTGCAAAAAAGTATGATGCCTTAACGATTAGATAGTTTCAAAGTACCCGAGTTTTATGGTTCAGAAATCTGAAACCAATAATAAAATCATTTAGACAAACGTATTTATTTATGAAACAGTGAGCACGTGAAACCTTTTTCCGCAATATTTTTATGCTTTAACTAAACACAATGCTAAAAAAATTCAGTTTACCTGCATGATAAACAACAATAATAACACATAATTAGCCTCATTATATTTATATAATAACACATAATTAGCCTCATTATCTTTGTATAATAACACATAATTAGCCTCATTATCTTTATATAATAACACATAATTAGCCTCATTATCTTTGTATAGTAACACATAATTAGCCTCATTATCTTTGTATGATAACACATAATTAGCTCCATTATATTTGTATAGTAACACATAATTAGCTCCATTATATTTGTATGATAGCACATAATTAGCCTCATTATATTTGTATAATAACACATAATTAGCCTCATTATCTTTATATAATAACACATAATTAGCCTCATTATCTTTGTATAGTAACACATAATTAGCCTCATTATCTTTGTATAGTAACACATAATTAGCCTCATTATCTTTATATAATAACACATAATTAGCCTCATTATCTTTGTATAGTAACACATAATTAGCCTCATTATCTTTGTATAGTAACACATAATTAGCCTCATTATCTTTGTCTCGTGTAGGAGAATATATCCTGTTGATTTTAGTTTAAACCATGGTGGCAAGTAAGTACGTATAGTATTGTTTGTTTGAAATTAAGCACAAAGCTACATAAAGGGCTATCTGTGCTCTGCCCACAACGGGTTTCAAAACCCGGTTTCTAGCCGCAGACATGCCGCTGTGTCACTAGGGAGCGTATGTATAGTAATTATCAAAACATCTTTTATACAAACAGAAAATCAAACGATAGTTGCACCTACTCGTTAAAAACATAAAGTAACATAAACAGTTACGACTGATGCGTTCCAATTGGTGAAATCACCAGCAAACATTTCTATATTTGTACAAAAAAAACAAACTTTGTCAACTTTATGAGTGGACCTTATTTAAGGCTGTTTGTTTTCAATGTTCGCGCAAATTTAATAGCCATCCTTAATTTTGATCTGAGAATCTAAAGGGAGCTAGTCACTAGCACTCATCGCTAAATCATAGGCTACTGTAATCAAACAGTGGGATTTAACTGTCACTCTTATAATGCACCCAAGGCTCTAAAGTGCAGAGCGCGATTTTGCGTCAAGGCGAAACGAACCATTGAACTTCGGATTCACAGTCCAGCGCGCTTACCAAAGGCCGCGCCCGATCCTTACGATGTAAGAGTCTCGCGTCCAAAACTGTTACATAGAATTTGACACAGAACACCTTATTTGATGCTGCTATTGTCGTTGAAATGAAAATTCATAGCGTACGTTTATTAGACTTTATATTATGTAATGCATCTTCAGTTCAAATCAACATAATCAAGATGGCAGCGAAAGGTCGTTGATCACACCTGGTTAGATTTGAGCAAAAAGTTTAGAAATTCCGCTTCTGCTAGTCTACTTCAGAATTTACTCTTCAATTATCACATAAAATAAAACTTACATTATATGTTGGGATGAATTTAATAGACTCTAAAAATAGTGATGTTGGAAATAAATAGTCCCTCATGGTGTATCTAAAATTATGCAAAAGAATAAAACATAAAATGTCGAGTTTTGCAAACAAAAATGCTAATTGTATCTCGGGATAAAAAATTATTAAACACACCACCAGGGCTTAACTTTGTTGGAAAGCAGAGGAGGCTAAAAAAAGCTAAGTCAATCTAACACAGTTGTTAATAAGTGTATGTACAATAACTGGAAAGAGGGGGTGGGGTATGTGCCACTTGTACTCTATGTGTTAAGTGCTTATGAGACACACTATCATATTCTGAAATGATTTGAAAGTATTTCACGTGAAACTGGCGATAATGGAAGCTCATTATGTTATTAAACACCCTACTATAGAAGTCAAAGGACTATGATACAACAAAATCAGTTATTATACACTAACCACTCAAGTTTAATCACTTATTATACACTAACCACTCAAGTTTAATCAGTTATTATACACTACCTGCTCAAGTTTGAGTCGATTACTTGTTATTGGTAATAGAGGGTTGTCTAAAATTATCATTTCTATTTTACAATTTAATAATTAACTAAGGAAATACAATCATGCAGTTTTCAACATCTTGTAGCCCAACTCCAACAGTATTTATTGACATGTCAGTAGACTTCTACGTGTTCACCATTAGTGGCTCTCAGCACGTCTTACCGATATTTGATTTCAGTCCACGTTCGCTGCAACATGTCCACAGTTACCGTGGCGATGGCGTCCGTTATCCTGGTCTTTAGTTCCGTGATGTTTGCTATTGGTGTGCGATACACAATATCCTTAACATACCCCCATACTTCTTTCCTGTACTGACGTCTCTAATTACGCTGCACCACAGTCCCTGACTTGGTATTTCCTAGCCAAACGATACATTGAGCCTTTTCTTGCACGATTGCCATTTTACAGGATAACACTACTCACTAGAGTGAACAAAACATGACAATAAAAATTATTTGAGTTGAGCTACAAGATGTTGAAAACTGCATTGTTGTATTTCCTTAGTTATCTAATTATTGAATTTTAAAATAAAAAGGTAATTTTGGACCACCCTATTCAACAAGCTTATTACGTCATATTTCACGAGTTCTGTTTCAAAGTATACAATAGATGACACTACACACCCAACCTGTACAATGAGAAATGATGGCGCGCAATATGTAGCTTTATACAAATAAAATGTTCAGAGTTTATACCGACTCAAAAGAGTGAGGAAAGTTATTCTTCGGCTGTTTCTCGTTTTCGTCATTTTTTGCAACAGTTACAAGCAGGGTTCGACGGTGGCGAGATCTTTCTGACTCTTCACTGTCACTAACACTAACTATAGATGGCGTTAAAAGTAGGTCTTGCGCAGACGTTGAAGACATTATGTTTTCTGAAACAAAACAAAAAGTAAGTTAATTATTTTTAACATATTGGCATAATTTATTTCAAGTCACTGAAATAAATCTTACTGAATAATTTTACTTTTATTAAAGTAGACCATAAAAAGTTTTTTTATTATTATATTTCCTAACAGGAACTTTCAAAGTAAAGTACCGGGGGCCTGAGAAAAGAATACATCATAGAAATTCAGCTGCACAGAAGGGAGCAAGCACAGGTAAGCCTTAAAGTTAAACACAGAAATATCTATGTTGTTATGAGTTTAAAAAAATCATATTTATCAGTTGGTCTCAAATGAAATTACAAATGTCTCACGCCAGGTTATCTTTTGAACTTTAAAGATGTAACAATAGTATAACATTAGGCTTAAACTGAATCCGCTTTAAACGCAGCATCTATAAATATAATAGTGCTGTAACGTATTCTATCATTGGGCGAGTTCTTTTGGATTCTTTGGTAAATATAATGCGAAGTCCAGTCCACGTAACGATAACGAATTAACTTGTTTCTTTAATAAACGTTTTCTACGGCCGCATTCCATTTTAGGCCTAATTTAAAATAAAACATTTGGACGGAAACTCCGAAACTAATGTAGGCCTAACTTAGCTTAGGTCGAAAACCAAACACGTAATTCATCGAGTAACCGAACAGCAGAATAGACGCGATAACCCTTACTAATAGTATTAACAAGTACTTACACTGGCTCAGTTAATCAGTAGTAATTGATTCAATGATCAAGCGTATTAACTGATTGGCACTGAAGTGACTCATTCATTACTGATTACTCATTTATATATGTTTGTTTGT